GGTAACGAATCACAGGTAAGAAACAATCAGGGAATCACACGAGGTAACGAGATGGGCGTGGCACACATCGGGAGCGGACGGAGCGGGGCGTGACAGTAAGAGTGCACCTTTTTGTAATTACCTATTTGTTTCCATTGCAGAGGACAGTGAAGAAACCCTGTCTGACGAGTGTCCGGAGGAATTACCTGTAAGAATGTATGATACAGGCGTATGTGTCTTTATGTGTATGTAATTGTCACGCCCGACTCGTCCGATCCCCGCGTGTATGCCACGCCCCCCTCGTTACCTCGTGTTACTTCCCGATTGTGATCACCTGATGCCTGTTATTTCGGCTTGTTTCATGTATATGAGTCCATGTCTTCCTTAGTTGGGTGTCCGTCATTGATGTTCTGTGCTTTGCTCTCTGCCCTGTTTCCCCGAATAAACCCTCGTGTACTCGTATGCACGGCTCTATCGCCTGCTTGACCGCCCGCAGTCGTGACAGAATGACGGACCCGCAAGAAGACACACTGCAGCGGACCAAGAACCAGCGTCTCGGTCTGCTGCAAGAGGTGGTGTACTGGCTGTCCCAACCCGAGGTCCAGGAGGACCCCATAGCCTGGGACTTGGCCAGCCGGAGCGGGGACCTCCTGAGTGAGCACCCCCACCCAGAAACGCGTACCCCCTGCAGGAAGTACACAAGAATCTTAGGCTGCTAATACAGCGGATTATGGACCGGAGAGCCCAGTCAGTCGTGCTGTGCTGCGCTGGGGCTGCTGTACCGCCTCTTCTCCCTACAGAGACAGCTCAGCTTCCTTCCACCGCCACAAGCCGGAGGAAGAAGAAAAAGAGAGAGCAGAGACAGAAGGAGGACCTGACAATCCTCCTGGGAGCTACCTCTCTCTCCCCAGCTTCTTTCCCTGCCAGTCATCGGGGGGAGGCTCTGATCGCCCTGGACATCACCCCCTTCGCAGGCAGCTTCCCCCTTCCGGGGAACGCGTCTAGCCCTTAATAGGAGAAAAAAAAGCACACAAAAAAAAACAGTAAATACTTGACTTACTACACATGGCTTCAGCCATCACTTGTGGGACAGGTAAAAGTGTGGGCGTGTTGTTTCGAACTGCACATAAGTGGCAAAACAGCATTACATGAACTACACTGTATGTCATCCATAACTCATGTAGAAATGTAGTATTAATTTATTCTTACTCTTGATTTAAGACAGTTCAACTGACTGTAACACACAAATGTTGTTTATACTTTAAGGTAGTTAGAAATTATTGCAGCTGTAGCACTTTTCCAATACAAATTAAATCAATTACCAGAAATAAAGGTGG